TTAATCAAAACAAATTTTAATTCTTAACTCAACACGGGATATTGTTAATTAAAAATAAATCAAATTAAATTGGTTTCAAATAGCACGGCTTAAAGTCTTGGGCGAGAAAAAAAATTATAAAAACAATGACAACAATTTACCTATCGTCAAGATCGCGGCTAGAAATAAATTTCGGTTTAGAGTGTATCGGAATCGTATCGTATCTAATTATTTGCCTATTCGATTTCACGGTGTAAAAGCAAGTATTTTCGATAAATCGGTATATTAGGAACTAAAAATTTTAATTCAATCTCGGACCTCGTTCAGTTGTCGAGAACCCTTCCACTACCAGAAAATCCCACTATTACCGCGCGCGCACGTAGAGTATCACGATGCTTACGAACAGCGATAAAACGGATGATATACAGGGCATATCCACGGAGTTAAACTTAAGTAAAAATCGAAATTAATACCCGGAATTAGTTAAAAAAATAATAATAATGAAAATTGACTTCATTACAGAACTGTATGTTTTTCTCAATCTGATTGTACCTCTTTTAGTTAAATTAGCTTTATCGTCAATCAGGGATGTTGTTGGCGCATCTACATTTTTCAAAAAAACTATATTTGAATCAGCAAGCGGAAAAGCTGGACTAATACTACTTCCAATTTCTAAAACATGGTGCTTTTCATGATGAACATTAAATTCTGATATTAAATCATCAAACGGAACATAATCTCTGTTTTTTACGGAATCATCAGAATCTTCAAACGTTTCTTCTAAGTTTCGTATACCAAATAACTGTTTTTTTATATTACACAAATCATATTTTTTAATGTGATGAATGGAACTAGAATACTCATTAACTGTATCTTGTACATTTGCAAACGTTTTATATGAAACCGGGATTTTATAAAAAGTTTCATCCTTTAATTGGCTTTTAGGTAAATTGTGATTCGAACCTTCATTATTTTTAATTGAATAATTTACGTGTATATCTTGAAATTGGCAATTTTCTTTATTTTCTTATTTAGCTTGGACCATTTGAAGCATTTTATAGCATCTTCCTAACGACTTCAATATAAGCTACAAAAAAACTGGATAAATAAAAAAAAAATATACACCGTCTCCCATGTAAGGCGGGCATTACAACTTTATAGAGAATAAACTAATTTGTATTTTCGCCGATTTCGGGGTACTCATAATCGAACATCATCTTTTAAATTAAAATAAAATCTATGCAACTACTGGTTATACCGGAAGTGACCACTAACATCGTTCTTTTAAATAGAATACCTTATATTTTTTAAATTTTAGATTTAGTATGACATTCTGTAAACAATGATACCCCATTTCCCTATTTGAATTCTAGCGGATTTAGCGTAATTCAATTTTTTTTTTTTATTTTTAGTCGCCGGTAGACATTTTCATAAAGTTGTATATTTTAGGTACTATTTCTAGCAGAAATATCAAAAAATTGGCGAAAATACATATTAGTTTATTCTCCATAAAGTTGTAATGCCCCCCTTACGTGGAACACGGTGTATAATTTTGGTAAGATACAATTTTGCAATTACATCCCCTAAATAAAATCAAACACACTTTCAGACTATCTTGATATAATACTTACTTGTTAGAAATAAACGTTTGTAAATAATAACATGTAACATGCACCCCGCTGCGATATTGATACGGTACTGCCATGGAGGAAGGTTTATTAAGAGTTGCCCTGTCTTTGTAGAAATTTGGCAACAAGTTTGCTTGCAGCAACCTGTGTGGGCAGGTGGTTCAACTAATCCTACTCTGTCGGTAATATAGTTACCTGCAATATTAACTGTTCAATCATTACTCTGTTGGTAATGCATTTGCCCGTAATACCATATTTAATTTGAAAATTGGCGGGCTTATTTTACTTCCACTAAGAGGAGCATTTATTTTAACAATTATTATTTTCCATCTAATACGAAATATAGGCATCAAAAATTTCAGTTCATTTTTTTCATTTTTAGTGAAAGAAAAAACATGTAAGTGAAGGTAGACGTTTTTTCGTCTGGAGCCACTTTTTTAAAATTTGATCAATTTTGATGGCAAAAATCACAAAATTTTGTTTCATAAAGATTTTCTTAATTTTTGAGAAAATAAATCAGATTTTGGAATAGTGGCTCCAGAGAAACAAATATTTCACTTTTACCTGAATGTACATATTATTCATTCACTAAAAATTAAAAATAAACTAGAAATGTTCATAGCTCTATTTCGTATTGGTTAGAAAAAGATAATTGCTAAACTAAATATTTCTCCTCTTAATTATATTTAAAATTTGCTTTTTTATTAGCTGTTTGTAACAATTATGAAATGCCCAATAAAAATGTAAAATTCTATGACAAATAACTATGAGGGGTAAAATAAATACCATACAAAGTTTTATATAATAAATTAAATTAATGGCAATATAACAATAATAATAGATTTTCCTACACTTCACCCTACATGAGTTTACCCCAAGAAGAGCTTGTGAGTGGCAAGAATAGTTATTTTTATTTGCTATGGCACTCTGGGTTGACTTAAAGATAAGCGATAGTGCCATTTTATTTGCAGGTGAGGAAAACCCGAATAACCCGGCCTACCATAATTATTTATATATATATATATATATATATTAGTTTATTTCCATACAAAGTACAATCTATTTTTACAAATGTTTACTAGTTTCTATAAAAAATACTCCTAATTTCACGAAAATGTTATTCTCTAAAGATTATCTAATGAGTTTGACTTAAAAACAAATTCTAGTATTATAAATTATCTCCAAATATTTATTATCTTCAAGAAAGTTACTCTAATATCACAAATATCACATTATTATTTAGGTGTACGTTAACTATCTTCGGTTAAAATAATAAAAAAATCAGAAAATGCAAAACAAATAATTCATGTACTTGATTTGAAAAAACTAATGCCTAATACATTTTCTAAATAACAAAAATATTCTTGTTGAATCTTGGGCAATAAGATAAAAGGCAACCATCCATATAAACTGAAACAGAAAAAAAAATTAAATGCAGTAACTTCAATCATTTTGTTTATCTTTTTGGTCTTTAAAATATTGCCACAGCTCTCATACTAGGTCTGTCCGGGTTCTTCAAAAATACATTGAGAACTATCAGAAGACTAGTTGACCAGTGGATAGTTTAATAGTTGTATGCGACAAATAATTTGGAATTAAACTGTTTCACTAGTTCTCGGACAGTTTGCATCGAGTTTTAAAGAAACCTGAACAAACCTACATTATAATAGTTTTGAATTAAATGGTTGAAATATCTTTGATTCTGAAATTTTGACTGCAGTTTAAACGTCACATTAGAAATTAATTATAGGGCATTTTTTAATTTGCAAATTTTACTTTTCTGTTTTCTATTAAATTTATTTAAAAATTCATTATCGAAACGTCGTTCCTTATGTAAGATTCAAATTCAATTGATGACTGACCGTCTTTGAAATTTTTATCTATATTATTAGAATGTAACACAGGTAAGGAGGTGTGATAACAACATAACTAAGTATTATTATCTGGTTTTGAGGGTGCTAAAGGCAAGCAAATCTTAGCAGTCTTAGTCTTGAACAATTTGTGTTTGTAATCGATTTCGTATCAAAATTATCTCATAATTCATGATTGGTTTCACATGGAATGTTTAAAATGTGGCACCATTCTTTCTTTCATTTGGAAATTATGTATTTATAATGAATTTTCCCTGGTAAAGACTCGTTAAAGCATCAAAATACCTTTACTTAATTTTAAATAATCCTAAATAACTTATATCTAAAACTAAAATAAATAAAAATACTCTCACTCACATGTTTTCGTCGGCGGCAACCATAACCATATTGTTTTTGTTTACTTTTTGTTGACAGAGCGCGCGTCACCGTGGTAGCGCACACGGGGGAGCCAGCAGGCATGTAGCGGACATAAAGACAGATTAACATTGTACAAATAACTAAGTGAAGGCATGATTTTTTAATTTGGTTTAATATATAAATTAAAATTGTTGAAATAATACTTTTTTGTGTTACTGAGCGAGATGTTATTAAATTATTCAGTGTGCTTTACATTTTAACACAATTTGGTAATTGTAAAGCGGACTTCAGAGCACCCAAGCGCCGGGTGGTCTGCGCAATAAACGGGTTGGCCTATTTTGCATATGATATAAACCCCCGTGGGTACTGCTGACGAGGTGACGAGTGACGAGTGATCAACTGAGAACTGGACAAATCACCACCCTTCCTACTACTACCTAACTACAACAGAATAAGTGGGCAGCGCATAAAATATGCTGCAGTTATAACGACTAACTTAAACGTTCAGTTTTTTATAACCAACTATTTGTTAAAAAAGCACAAGTCGTAGGAGTATGTTGTTTTTGTAAATTGATTTTTTAAGATTCAAACTTAATACTAAGGAAAAAAGCATCTTAAATATTTTCGAACGAAAAAAGGCATAAGAGAACCATTTATGCTTTTTTTGTTAGGCAAGCTGAATAAAATTATAGCAACATGATAAAGAGGACAAACGTAATTACACGTTTATGCTTCTTTTGCTTAGAATTGTAAAATAGGTCTTTTTTGCCTCAGTCAATATGTTTCAAAATAATATATTCAAAAAATAAAGGGTTATAAAATAGCAATTATGTAGTTTTTTAATTCTGAACTCACAGTTGTGGCTTTTATTACTATGGTGCATGTACAATTTGTTAAAAATAATGTACTTGTGTTTCTGTAACTTCTAACTTCTTCTGTATTATGAATGTATTAACGATTTCTAGACAGAAAAATCACATTTTTTTTGCTGTCTCCAATATGTAGTCAACTCAAAATCACTAAAAATGTTACTTATGCTTTTTTTTTTCATAGCAGGGCAGTATAAGTAAATAGATAGGATTTACCATTACCATTTTTGCTCTATTTGAATACGTTGGTACCCAACGTGAAAGATCATTTACAAATATTTTCTTATCGTTTTCAGACTGGTGCTATTGAAGGCCAGTACGCCATCCGTAAAAACCAGAAAATAGCTCTCAGTGAACAACAATTGTTGGATTGTTCGGTTTCTTACGGAACCGGTAATTGTCAAGAAGGCGGTGCTATGGTTTTGGCATTCAAGTACGTCAAAGATCACGGACTTCAAACAGAATCTGCATATCCCTATAAAGCTAGACAAGGTACATGCTTGAACCAATCTGGTCCGTACAAAGTAAGAGGGTACTCAACGATTGCTGCCAACGAGAACGCTTTAAAGAATGCTGTGGGTGAGTAATAAGTAGAGTGTAATCTCACCTTGTATTGTAATTGTGAAAGATTAACAGTTTAATTTTGATTTTTTTCAAACCATTGATCATTTCGAGAGATTTAAGCTTGAGCAGCAGGTATAACTTTGTTTTGAAAAATAAAATATCATGTCCAGTTTGTTGGCAAAATCATAATCTTAAAAATTGTCCTAGGGGTAGCTTAAAAATGTGTATTAACTGTGCACATCTAAACAAATCTCCAAAACTAAATATGAATATTGATCATGCTGTGTGGCATTTTGAACATTGCTTAGCTTATAAAAAACCCATCAAACATATTAACCAAGACTTATTTGGGACTCTCAGTAATAAAACGTACCATACAATGTATTAGTTTTCTGTTTTTAATCTTAATGTTACCTTATCAAAGTTCGGTATTAACTCAGAAACTCACTACTACTGATTATTCTTGCATTACTTCTACCGAAACTTGGTTAGGAGGAACCGTTCATGATTTCGAAATATTTGATAGTAAACCATACTCAGTATTTTACTGCTATACAATAGGCGAGTTCGGTCTGCCAAGTTCTTTTAACTCCTTTAACACTTTTAACTCCAAACGACCCTTTTAACGTTCGCTTTAGTCCGATCAGTGACAGTTTAACACGCTTAAATGTCATTTAAAAGCCCCCTAAAAAACTCCGCTTTTGTCCCGCTCCAGCCCTTGACTATCCGAACTCGCCTTATAGAGCAGTGGTTCTCAAACTTTTTTGGTTACGAAACCTTTTTGAAAAGCGAAATATTTGACGGAGCCCTAAACAACAGATTTAAAAAAAAAGGTCCATATCGTCCTTCCTTTCAGTGACTCTAAAAAAAGGTCCCATCCCTTTCTTCGCGGAGCCCCCACTAAGGCTTTGCGGAGCCCCAGGGTTCCGCGGACCACACTTTGAGTAACGCTACTATAGAGATTTAAAAAAAAAGGTGTTATTCTAGCGATTGAATTTGTCTTGTCTCAGGTAAATTTAAATTTAAAAAGTCATCCTGTATTGAAAGATTATTATCATTTATTAGACATAATAGGAGTAAAAATAAAGTTATGCTACATTTATGCCAACAAAAGCCTGATATACATTCCGCCTAATGAAAGTATACAGTGCGGTTCTAATGTCAATACCCCCTCCCCTTTATTTTTGGAACCGTAAAATAGAAATTTGAAATTCAGATATGAACCCATAAAAAAACTTTTTAAACGATAATAGTACAGTGCAAAGGTTAAAAATTTGTAGTACGTCAGTTGATAGCATTGAAAATTTAAAGCAAATGATTTGTTATGAGTAAAATTTTTATTTTTATTGATGTCGTTGGAAAGGGTTTGGAACATGCTTTTACTTGCCACTTAATCCCGTTTGAAATTATCTTCCAAAACGGCTCCTGTGCGCCATTTTTAATGATTACGTCACCTAATATCATTAACAAGGTATACATTTTTTAGTAAGTTACCCAAAATTTCAAATTTCCAACTTATACGGTTTAAATAAAATGGGGGGAGAGACTTTATATCCGCTCTGTATAGTTATTTACGAGTAAGTAATTTATTGAAGCCCTTGATTCTGTAACATACTTTCATGATCAAACATTAATGTCATCACCATTAACATCTCGAGGGTACGTTCCTTTCCGTTTTTTTTTGGGGTGCCGTTTTTAAAAGTTCTGGATCAGACGTATTGTCATCAATTTTATCAGTTGCCTTATACTCTTGATTTTTGGTTGAAATTTCATTATCGTATACTCATCATCATCTGAATTAGGGCGTGATTCAAAGCCCACTTGTACTGAAGCTCTAGGCTTATTTTACCCCTCACAGTTTCTATCCCATCAGATTGATTTTCTTGATAAATTCAAGAATATGTCTGATGGGCGCTTTCGCGATTTCTTCAAGTTCCGGATATTGTACCCCGAAGTACCATTCCCGTTCCCATTTAAGGTTCCGGCAGTGGCATAGTATGTGAATAGAAGTTTTATCCTCCTCTTCACATATTCTACATAGCTGAGTCATCAGATATCCCTAAGAGATTTAGGTATCTTCTAAGGCCGCAGTGTCCCGTAAGGAGTCCTATTACGGCCTTGAGTTCGCTTCTGCTAAGGTTTAGCTGTTGCTGTTGTCTGCTCGTGGATGGCCCCTCTATGAATCTTTTGGACTGTCTAAGTCCAGGAAGTTCCATCCAGAGCCTATAGTGTTCTCTTTTTATTTGTTCCCTTAACACCCATTTAACATGTTGGTATGAGATATAACATGTGGGTTCTGGTCCAATAAGAGTTTTTTCCGCTCCCTTCCTTGCTAGGAAGTCTACTTTCTCGTTTCTAAACACTCCCTTATGTCCTGGCACCCATTCAAGGGTAACCTTGTTATGTTCTGCCAGAGCCTGGAGGGATTGTTGGCAATCAAATATTGATTTAGATTGTACTTCTACCCGTTTTAGTGCTTTAAGGGTGCCTGACTGTCTGTCATGATAACGAATCTCTTATCTCTAAGAGAGTTATTTAGCATGACTGGCGCAGGCATTTATTGCTGTTACTTCAGCCTGGAAGACCCCAGGTTCAAACTAATTGTCCTCCCTGAGTTCACATGGTAGATCCTAGCTCCTGTGCTGTTTTTCATTTTCGAACCGTCTGTATACCAGATTGATTCGTTTTGTTTTTCCCTTTTTTCCCGGCTTTTGGCCCTTTCTGGTATTTGAATATCAAAAGGTTTTCTGAAGTCGTGATTAATGGGCGTTCTATCCGATGGCATTCTTAGTACCGAATTTTGTTTTAATTTCTCTAATATCATTGTGTGGTGTCCTTTTCTCGAAAGTTCCCATCCAAATCCATTAGTAAACAGCCTGTATGCTGCCGCCATAGCCTCCTTCTCCACCACAAGGTGTAGTGGAGGAAGACCTAGCAGTAGCTCCATTGCTGCTGTGGTCGTAGTTCTAAATGTCCCTGTTATTATTAGGCAGGCTAGTCTTTGTACCTTGTCTAATTTTCTGTTAGCTGTTATGCTTTTAGTCTTGTGCCACCATATGACTGATGAGTAAGTTATAACAGCTACTACAACCATAGTGTAAAGCCAGTGCCTCATACTTGGTTTAAGCCCCCATGCGTTCCCTACCATCCGTCTACAGGCCCATAGTATTCATACAGCTTTTTCTGTTGTTTTTTCTATATGGCTGCAGAAGCTAAGCGAGAGTGATTCCAAGATATTTAACCTCGTTTGCCATTTTTAGATGTTGTCCCCACATATAAAGCTCCTTCATTCCTTAAAGGTTCCTTTTTCTTGTGAATGCAACAACAGAGGTTTTGTCGAGTTTGTGGACAATCCCTCTTTTAGGCACCATCTTTCGACGATATTTAGTGCCCGCTGCATCCTTTCGGATACAACAGTCCCAAATTTATCGTTTATTACGATGCTTATGTCGTCTGCAAATGCTTGCGTGTATAAGTTTTCTCTCTCTAACTCCCATAATAGGTCATCAACCACCAAGGTCCACATAAGAGGAGATAGCACTCCTCCCTGCGGGCATCCCTAGTTAACTGACACCTCTCTTGTTGTGTTAAGGAGATTACTGGTAATGGTTCTATGATTAAGCATGAACTCTACCCACCTCGTAATGCAGTGGGCTACTCCACGCCTTTGCATAGATCCCAGTATTGAATTGTATGAAGCCGAGTCAAAGGCTCCTTCTATATCTAGGAAGACTCCTAGTGCAATTTCTTTGCTTTCCAATGCTTGTTCAGCCCGTTGAGTTAGCCTATGTATGGCTGCATCGCAAGACTTTCCAGATTGGTAGGCAAACTGGTATCGATGTATCGGTTTATCCTGTAGAACATCGTCCCGTATATATCTATCGATCAATTTCTCCACTGTTTTTAGGAGAAATGACGTTAGGCTGATTGGTCTGAAAGATTTGGTCTCCTCGTATGACGCTTTCCCTCTTGCACACCTCCAGCTTTGTGGAACATATCCGAGGGCTATGCTAGCTCGGAATAGTTTACACAGTGGTCTCTCCAGTACTTCCTGACCCTTTTGTAGAAGTGCCGGGATTATACCATCAGGTCCAGTTGTTTTGTATGGTTGAAAGGAATTTATCGCCCACACAAGTTTTGTCCTGTTTACTAATGAGTTTGCAAGAAACCAGTTTGTTTTTGAGGCCCTAGAAATTAGTGCCTCAGTACTCCTGTTCTCTTGGTCAAGAATAATCTTACATCCAGGCAAGTGTGACTTTAGTAGTAAATCTAAGGTCTCCTCCTCTGTTTTTGTAGGTTCTCCTTGTTAATTTTTCAGAGATCCCATGCATCTTTGCTTATCTCTCTGTAGAGTTTTCCTGAGTCTGGCACATTCTGGAAGGCTTTCAATGCCGTCACAGAATTTCTTCCACGAATTTTCTTTGGCTTTCCTAATGTCATAACCATATTCTCTCCGGAACGCCTTATAGGCTTCCCAGTTCCCCGACCTTTTAGACAGGTTGAAGAGTTTACGAACTTCTGTCTTATTTTACAGCGTCTCGATCCTCTTTCCTTATTTTTAAAGAACAGTTTTTTCAAATGTGTTGGTTAGGGTTCGTGTCAGAAACTCTGACATAAACTCAACTTCCACTGAATTCTTCAGTATCGGAGGACAGTCCTCCAGTCCCTGTTTGAGTTCTTCCTTGAAAGCTCCCCAGTTACAGGTCCTAGGATTACGATATGTCTTCTCACCCGAGGTTTTATTACCCACCTCACACACACACAGTTGCGACCTTGGATCAACGAACCATGTAATTAAACAACTAATGTCGAAGTTACCCTAAGAGGGTGACGAAGTTACATCCAATGTCGAAGTATCCCCGTTTTACGGTACTCATTTAAGTTGGCAATTATTAGAGCCTATTAACATGGCTTAGTAAAAAATAGATACCCAACAACCAAACTATTTTGCATAACAAGGTTTATATTAAATCGACAATTACCAGTAGAGCGTTTTGGTGAAAATTCCGACTACCTCTGGAGTACCGCAAGGTTTAATGTTAGAGTCATAATTTTTATCAATGATATTATTGCGGACCTGAAAGCTATATACAGACGACCTTAAACTTAACTACAAAATTAATTATGTATATGACACTGAAAAAATATAAACTGACTTAAATAGGGTTAATGAATGGTGTATAAAAATAGAGTCTTATTAAACCCATCTAAATGGAATGTCATGAGTTATTTCTCAAAACAAAATATTATTAGAGCTAATTATTCACTTAATGTTACATAGATACCTAGGCATACAATTCATTGGTATATGGATGATTTCAAAATCACAGAACGAACTAGAATAGGGGTGTATGGACCTAGAATCAAGCACATTTAATGTTTGGTAGATACCCAAGCATCTTCAAGGCAGAAATCTATACCAGTAAGAAGTGTATCAAGTTCAACATCGAAAGAAACTGTTGCAGACAAGAGAGTTTTATCATTTCTCAGCCAAGCAGCTATCAATGCGCTGAGCTGTTACGTAATCAGCTCTAAAATTGTCTGGAGAGGAATATAAAAACTGAATGAGCTAGGCGAGGAAAATATAGAAACTCTCACTTAAGTTCCGGGATAACGGTGTAAAAGGCAGCGAGATTTTAGATAGTCTTGCAAGGAAAGGGCATAAATACCCTTTGTGGGACCTGAGCCTTTCTGCGGTATCAACAGTAACATAATATTAGGAGAGATTAAAAAAGAATGGGGCAGTAAAAGAACCACCGATAATTGGAACAATCTCTTAAGAATAAGTCAGATACTGCTGGGTAAATATAACCAGAAAACATAAAAAGACATCTTAATAAACTGGGAGTAGTAAAAGATAGTGAGTGTAGATTATGTAAGGAGGAGGTCCATACCTTCAATCACATTATGACTAAATGTTTAGTACGCCAGAATCCAAGGGCGCTATATTTAGGAACATACCAAATAAAACTTAATGCTACTCCATATCCAACATTTCCTTGATTGAAAGGGTCGTTATAGGCATTAGCGACAGAATGGTGCACAATAGATCTTTAAGGTCGCATACCCAACATAACATAACATAAGTTAGGTTTCGTCATTCACAATCAAAAAATGTTCACTGAGTTTTATGTATTCCAGCTACTTTACAACCCTTATGTCAGATCCAAACTTAAATATGAGCTCCATTCTGTAGTATTTATATCCCCATGATCCACGTCTTAATCGTCTTTCTATCAAAGCGCTTGAGCACCAAAAAAATATGATAAAACAAAGTTATTTACTATTCACAATCCAATTAACTGTAAAAAAGTACTAAATAGACTTGAGATTTACGTTACACGTACTGGTACAAGAAATACACAGATGTTTAATTTGCCTTTTTCTAGGATAAATTTCTAAAAATTGTCCCCACATTACATCATGTGTGAAAATCGTAATAGTTTTATAGGTCTAATAGTGGACATCCAAGTATTTAGCTACAGCTTAACGACAATAAAAAAAAATTAAAGCTTAAACTATATCATGTATTTTCTCCCTCTAAATATTTAAAATAGTAGGTTTTTATGTATTTATATAATTTATTTATGTTTTCTGTCTGGTACTTGGATGCAAATTCTCTTGGATTGTGTAATTAAAAAAAAAGACTCTAGTTTAATGTTTTCAATTCAAGCTACATCTTGACCTTGCAATTTATCCTACTACAAACTTTTTGTTTTATTTTAAAAGGCTGTTATAAATGACAAAGTTTAAATTCTTTGTATGCGACAGAGCCAGCTTGTTCCTTTAGAATTTAAATGCAAACAAAGTTGTATTTAAACAGGGTACAAGATACAAGATACAAAAAACAAAATTAATTTATATTATATAACAAAGTTAATTTTGAGATGCATTGCCTACAAAAAAAAGAATGCTATATAGTGATGATTATCTCCCTAGAACAAATAGAGATTATTTATCTAGAGAAATAGTCGATATTTGGTCTAGTGAAATAGTCGTTCCAATATAACACGACCTTGATTAATAAACTACTATTTTTGTTGTTATTGAATTTTACAATTATTTGATTCTACATAATTTTTGCATTAATAATCAATTGATTAATGCCAAAAATTATGTCTCATCAAATTTATATTAAAATATTCTGGAGATTTAGATTCAACAAAAATAGGTGAATATTATGAAGGTCTTGGTATCTTACCCTTGATTATTATCTTACACCTTCCTTTTTTAGGTACAGTGGGTCCAATCTCTGTAGCCATCTACGCTGACCCCATACAATTTTACAAAGGTGGTATCTTCCAAAGCAGCACCTGCTATAACGACAAAGAACATTTGGACCATGGTGTACTAGCCGTGGGGTACGGGACCGCCCCATCAGACTACTGGATTATCAAAAACTCATGGGGTGTCACCTGGGGGGAACAGGGATACTTCAGATTGGCCAGAAATGGCAACCAATGTGGCATCGCTCTTGATGCCTCTTATCCTACTTTGTAATTTTATATATTTTGTACTGGGTATCCAAATAAGCAAGGACGCCGGCTGACTGCGACTGTATCTCAAAAACTATGCGTCGCAGAATTTTGGGACACAACATTTTCATGATAAGGATGATTAAGAGAAATCGTTGAAAATTATGTTGAAAATTCTAACTTCGCCGCTAGATGACGTGATGCATATGAAAAATGGGAAACTTATAAATAAGTGGGTAGGCAAATTTGACTAAAATTTCGGACGGATCACGACTTTCATATTTTCCATCTAACTTAATTTGACATGTTTTATCAATAAACCAGTACGATAAACAGTTCCTTAGATATTAACAGCGTCCTTCCATATTTAGACATCCAATATGCATCTACAATACTTAGATTAAACATTTTTTAAGTATGGGTACCTATTCATAATTTTTTTTAATAGATATTTATAACGTTAATGTAATATAGTTTAAAATATAATGCAATGTATTGTTATTTATTTCTTCAATTTAATAGTATATTACGTAACAAGAGTTGTAAGTAACCCATTACACACGAAGTGAAAAAGTTTGCACACGAAGCCACGCAGCGGCGAGAAAATGTTCGAATACAATATTTTGTTACTAAAATTGACAATATAAATGATGAGACGTTTATTTCCATAGCATGCTAAGAAAACTCGACTTCTTTTTTGAAAAATTGTGTAATGTGTTGCCGACATTTAGGATTATCACTTTTTTAATCCAAAATGTATCTCGCTAATTCTAAAAGTTTTTGTTTTTCAATTGACTAAATTTATGTAAACAGACCAAATAAAGTCAAACGTAGATAAAAATTTGATTGAAATTTGATTAAACTAAGAAATTTAAGTTTTCTTATCAAAACGCACGTGTGTGTTATGAGATCTCATTACGTACATGTTATTGTTAAATGTCATTTACAATTAATGTTGACAGTGCAATTTTTAATGTTTACTGACATGGGCGTAGAAAAAACAAATACACACACGTTATTCCGCCAAAATAATACGGTAAAAATTAATATGCACGTGCTTTATTGTTTTGAGACAAATGTTTGGGGTCAAATGAAGCTTTCTTGAAAAGACTTTAAATATGCATATTTTAAGGCGGAAGTTGACAACTGACCAAATCACAACCCACTGTCTAATAAAGTATTTTATTCAAAAATATTTTCTCTAAATGCTACCGGTTTCCGCTAGCGAAAGTCAGGTCAAAGCTTTGAGTGGATATAAACCACTGATGCCAAGTTTTAATAACCTTCCGATATTGTTTCTGCATTTTTTGTATAACTAGAAAGAGGTATGATTGACAGGAAATTTTAAAAATAATGTAAATATTATTTCAGAAATAAGGGTAAATAGTTCCAAAAACAAACACCAACATTTTCAAAAGACAATAATAAATAATAAAGGGATTGATTAGAGAATATTACATTTGTTTTTGTACATAGGTAATTTTTTATTGAAAAACGTAAGTTTTGTAAATACTAACTTTGTTACGGTATGATACGTTTCGTATGTTATATTCTAAACATACGATCTATAAAAATTCGATAAAGTATTCAGTGCAATATAAGAAACCACTCGAATTGTATAGTATTGTATAGTATATTTCTACGAATCACTAAAGAAAATCTACAACGTCTTAAAACGTAATTTAGAGGTTAATTACACAAAATTACTATTTTAAAAATAATTCATAAAAACATTTTAATTTCTGGATTGTACCAATTTATAAAATGCCTCAAACTATAGCGATAACTTATCATTTATTTTTCTTTAACATTTACACTTAAATAATTGGTTTAGGTCATTTTGTTATAATTTTTCCAAAATTTTCGATTTCTTTAACAATTACCGATGAATGTCTAATAGGTTATTATTTATTGATTCGTTATAAGGATCACTCATTTTTACTTTCCTATCTGTATACGGATATAAGGAAAGTATAGGAATCATGATTTTTTTCGACCTCCGGTTTTCGACGGATTTTTACGTTTTGGGGTCCCCTGAACCGTTTTGACTATTTTCGAGATGATGTCTGTGTGTGTGTGTGTCAGTCCGTGTGTGTGTGTCAGTCCGTGTGTGTGTGTGTGTGTCTGTATCCACCATAACTCATGAACCGATACAAATAAAAACACCAAATTTGAAACTTAAGCTTTATTTCGGCCTGCGGTGAACTGACTAGGTTTTGGACAGAGTCGGAACATTTGGGGGGGGTACTTTACTGGTGGTCATTTTTATATTTTATAGAATATATTCGTTATTTACGTTTGGAGAAGAAAATTCTTCAAATAAAAGTTATTTACAATATTATTATCTATAATTTTTGTATTATATAAAATTTTCCTAAAATGGTTCGTATTCGAGAAATTTGATAAAATGTAAAAAAATTAATTTTTTATAAAAATTATTCAAATAAAAGTTGTTTGTAATATAATTATCTATAATTTTTATTCCATGCATAATTTCTCTAAAATGGACCGTATTCGAGATATTTAAGAAAATGTGTAAATTTCGAGTTTTGAAGAAAACTCAAAAACGGATAAAGGCAAAAACATTAAATTTTAAACTTAAGTTTTATTTCGGCCTAAGGTGAAATGATTAGATTTTGGACGAAGGCGGAACATCTGGGGGGGGGGGGGTACTTTATGGGAGGCCGTTTTTATATTTTATGGAATATATATTATAGAAAAATGTGTCGAGTTAGATGTATGTGGAAAATGTATATATTTAGTTTATCCTCTAAACATTTATAGAGGTGCTGCAAAAGATTGTACAAAATAACCGGAAAAAGCCTATAATAACTAGATAGGAAAGTCATGTGTTGGACACATCAGATTTTTAATTATATATTATCCTAATAAAAAAAAAAGGATAATAATTAGTTTGACAAATTTGTCACTAATTTAAAACAACTCAAAATAAAAAATAGTGTAATTTGTGTAACAATAACGTATATGAAGACAAAGTTTAAGCACGACGCTATAGGAACTCAATTGTGTAGTATATTTTTTCTACGACCTACATACGAAAACCTACAAAATTTAAAAATTAATTTATGAGGTTATGATAAAATAAATAATTTAAAAATATTTTATTTAGTCCACATCCTGGATTTGTACTTGGACCTTTCGCATGAAAACTCACTACTCTGTCTTTTAACCAGAGGTAACAGAGATATAAGCAGTCATTAATAAAATATAATATTCACGATGCAAACATTATTTTGACAATGGATACATTCTATTTCTAGACGCGGAGCGAGGCGACGAAAGGTGAGAAGTAAGAGAAGGGATAGAGAGAAGAATTTTATGGAAAAACAACTTATTTTTATCAATGAATAACTGCGCGCGCTTATACTACATAACGTTAATTTCCATGCCGGTGTAAGCCCTGTTGCCACTTCCAATCTAACATCACTAGGTTTTGGAATTTATTGAAAATTATTACATCTTATTTAGTGAAATTAGATCTAATTTAGTTAAATTTAATATAACTAATATTCAAAATTTTTTGGGTTCAGTTGCAATAAAATAGGTTGAATTATTTTAGCTTTTTAAAATATGTAAATAATTTTGTAAACAAAACGAGAATAATGAAATAGCCTTATAGTATGGTATAGATGAAAACTTATTTTAACTTTGCTTCCCACTTTGGTGTCACAAGCTGAATTTTTCAGGGATGAAAGTAAATGATAACCTAACCCTTATTCCGGAGGTAATACAAAATTAGACTGTGCAAAAGAGCATTATTATAAAAAATCAAATTATTTATACCACCGTATAAAAAAAATGCTTGTTTTTTGTTCTAATGCTCAATTAGTCCTAATGGTCGAAAAAAAAATTTAAACCTTAATATCTCGGTTTCAACCGTCTACAAATTTGTATAAAAAATCTTCTTTTAGAAATATACCTCTCATTTAACGAAAAACGAAGGCCTAAATGAAAAAAACCATTCTTCATAAAAGTTTCGCCTATGTATTGACAAGGTTACAGTTTTTTCCCCATATTTTTTGCTTTTAAATTAACAAAATTATAGCAATAAACAATTAGTGATGTCATGGTTTTACAAGAAAGCAAACATTGACTCTCTATGCATCTCTCTCAGTGTTGAAATGTATGCAATCAGTTTGACTCTCTTATATTATTTTATGCAGGGATTATTGATTTATCCACTATGAATAATAGGGTGTATTAATTACTTCAAGATTTTTTATTTCATTTTCGGAGAAAAATGAAAAATAAGAAAATATAAACTATTTATTGAAGGTATAAATACAGTAGCTATTGTTTTGCAAAATACAATAAATTCCCAATATAAATAAATAATAATATTAATAATAATAATAATAATAATAATAATAATAATAATTAATAATAATAATAATAATAATAATAATAATAATAATAATAATAATAATAATAATAATAATAATAATAATAATAATAATAATAATAATAATAATAATAATAATAATAATAATAATAATAATAATAATAATAATAATAATAATAATAATAATAATAATAATAATAATAATAATAATAATAATAATAATAATAATAATAATAATAATAATAATAATAATAATAATAATAATAATAATAATAATAATAATAATAATAATAATAATAATAATAATAATAATAATAATAATAATAATAATAATAATAATAATAATAATAATAATAATAATAATAATAATATTAATAATAATAATAATAATGATAATAATAATAATAATAATAATAATGATAATATTAATAATAATAATAATAATAATAATAATAATAATAATAATAATAATAATAATAATAATAATAATAATAATAATAATAATAATAATAATAATAATAATAATAATAATAATAATAAATAATAATAATAATAATAATAATAATAATAATAATAATAATAATAATAATAATAATAATAATAATAATAATAATAATAATAATAATAATAATAATAATAATAATAATAATAATAATAATAATAATAATAATAATAATAATAATAATAATAATAATAATAATAATAATAATAATAATAATAATAATAATAATAATAATAATAATAATAATAATAATAATAATAATAATAATAATAATAATAGATAGATAGATTCGTTTATTGACCCCTATTACATACAAGAATGTACATTTGAAGTCCTTATAACTATGGATACTAAAATGATAAAATGATAAAAGGTGCAGTGAAAAAAATACAAAGAGATAAAATACAAAGAGATGAGATAAAATACAAGTAATACAATAAAATTTAAAAATATTTACAAGGTACAATACAAGAACGACATATTTCGTCTGTGAATAAAATAAAACAATAACAAAAAGACACATTAAAACTATAAATATTATACGTTAAAATTATAGT